CTGCCTGGCCTGCTGTGTTCATCCAGCTCTACACCTTGTTATCTCAGACTCCAACATTACCTCTGCCAAATGTATTCCTAGGACCTGATCTGTAAGGGGACCTGACCTCTCCAAAAGGAGAGAAATGTAGTGTTCCTACAACCCTCACACCTCTCATCGCTTCACCCCATGCAGTCTCCATGCCCCACTTACAGCAACCCATGCAATCTAACATTCTTTGCCCATCCCCAAGTTACTTCATATCCCCAACTTTTTGCCTGCTCCCACCCTCCATCTTTTTCCCTTTAACCTATCATATCAACTCATGTGTTTCCTGGATGAGTGCAGCTCCACCAACACTCAAAAGGCTTGCGACCACACATGACAAAGCAGCCCTGCTTGATTGGTGCCCCAGCTAGCACCTTGAACATTCAGTCCTCCTGCAATTGCAGCAGTGTGGGCCATCTTCAGGACATACTGCAACAATTCACCATGATTCCTTAAGCAGCACCTTCCAAACCGGTGACCTCTATCACTTAGAGGGAGAATGGTAGTATGTACGTGAGAACACCACCAACTGGAAGTTCCTCCAAGATACCGCCCCCCCACACCCACCTGCACCATACTGACTTGAAACTGTATCATTATTCCTTGTCTTTGCTGGATCAAAATCCTGGAACTCCCTCCCTTGTATCACTCAGGATACCTTTACATCCATGCAGTAGTTCAAGAAGGCAGCAAACCAGCAGCTTCTCAATGACAATAGAGATGTGCAATTAACGCTGGTCCAGTCAGTGACATCCACTATCCTATGAATGAACAAAAAAAAAATCTACATGTACCCATGAACAGAGTTGAAATAGTATAGTTCCATTACATAAATTTCTATATTGCAGAGTGCACTCAACCTAGAAAGCACCGTTCTTCATACAACAGCTAGCAGTCCCGAAGGATATCTGATCCATGTCTCATACCTCTTTCCCAAAGGATCCCTGGTCTTCCACCATGAAGAAATACTGGATCCCCCCAAATCACTACACTGTAGCTTCCAGATACCCAAGGCTCCACGATCCTATTTCAATGGTTACTTAAAAGGTCAGCTGCTTTTGCACATCGCGCTTCTGTGAACTACATCCCAATTCTAATCTTGCCCCATGAAAATGAGAAATATCAGAGTCGGGGGTGGGACTTGAGATTCGCAACTTTTTACAGCATTATTCCAAGAAAGAGATGTGTTCTGTCCTGGCAAACCTCAGGGCCACTGAATTTCTTTGCAGGAATGTTGCTGTTCCTTTAACAGATGCTGTACCATTGCATGTGCTGTGGTGACAGCTTTGCTCATCAGGCATCGACCTGCAAAGCAGAAAAGGGAACAAAAACAAAAATTGCTGGAAAATCTCAGCAGGTCTGGCAGTATCTATGGCGAGAAAGCTGAGTTAATATTTTGGATCCAATGACCGTTCTTCAGAACAGATGCGTCGTGTCATTCAACTTTAACACATGGTGGAAAAATTTTATTAGAATCTCATTAGTAATCAATGGCTCGGGGGACTTTCTGGACTGCAGCCCATTTATTGACCTGAGGGCTTGAGTAACCAAAAACGTTCTCTTTATCTGTGCTATATTTTTGCTGTTATCCTACTTTTTATTAAGGGCTAAAATATTCAAAGATTATTCCTTCATCATTGCATTGCCAAGAGTCATGTCAGAGTTTAACAGACAACCCTGGCAGAGAATATTGTGATTTGAGATCAAGTGCTTTTTGTCCCTCCAGAATATGATCAAAAAGTTCACGTGAGAATGAGCATGCAAAGCCAAACACCATCACATTGTTGGGATAACTCAGTGTGGAGCTGGAGGAACACAGCAGGCCAGGCAGCATCAGAGGAGCAGGAAAGCTGACATTTCAGATCAGGACCCTTCTTCAGAAGGGTCTGGCCTGCCGTGTTCCTCCATCTCCCCACTGTATTATCTCTGACTCCAGCATCTGCAGTGCTTACTATCTCTGATCACCTTGTTGGGAGCTCTGTGACATAGACTTGTTCAGAGTCTTGTTGTTATGAGAAGTGAATGTTACAGGATTCAATGGGTTCATTTCAAAATGCTAAACACTTTTAATTTACTTATTTCAACTGCTGTGGTTTGGGAGTTGAAGATAGTGAATTTTTTAGTGTTCCCATTAGCTGTAGCAGTAATGAGTTGGACAGGAACTGAAGCACAACCAAAACTCTGTAAATGTAGGATATCTTAAACAAAAGTGTAAAATACTGAAAATACTCAACTCTTTTTCTCTTCACAAATACTAACGGCTCAGATCAATCATCTTTCATCTTTCAGGTCATCAGCCTGAAACATTTAACTTTGTTTCTCTCTGCAAAAATGCTGCTTGATTTGCTGATTATTTCCCGCATTTTCTGCTGCAATAAATTGAAAGTTGATCTGAGTGTTTGTATTGTTGTATGACTAAAATATAAGCACAGATCACAATGTAACTGATTTTCTTTGGCCTCCCTTTTGAGATATTATTCTTTTCCAAATCCCACCAAAAAGACAGACATTGAGCTTTTGTTTTGTGATATCACATAGTCCTTAACTTTGTCCTTGGCGTATTGAAATTAACAATTTATACTTTATAATCTCGATTCTATAGAATTTCAAAGTGAAACCTACTGCATCACCGCAGCATATGCTATATTGTATCAATGAGGTAATTTCTTTATTCTTGGTAAAAGATTTTTGGGATGAGTCACTTGCCTTCTAGAGAGAAGAAACATGCACTGAAGAGCATGCAGTTCCCAATAGACTTGGAGGCCACAAGAATTTTTTTTATCAAAAGCAATATATGATCAGTGTGTTGTAGATGTAATACTCTCACTGGGGAGTTAGTGATTACAGAATTTGTTACATTGGTGAAGAAAACTTTAATACTTCGCATGTGAATTTGTCAGTTGTAACTTGTAAGAATTTCTCCATTCAATTATTAACATGTGCATTCTTCAGTTCTGCATTTTTTAATTATAGATATTGTTCTTAAATTGTCTATTTGTTCATTTCATTGTGAGATAATGTAACTTGCCTAGCATTTAATCAGTTAACGTATGATGTATCATTTACCTTTTGGTTATCATATATATTTTTATTTTTCAGACTGAAACTCATACTGAGATTGTTCAAAATGGTCCGACTCTTCGAAAACCGAACCCAGTTGAGAACAAGAGTGATACTGGTATGTATTAACTATTCAGCGGGTAAATTTTGAATTGAACTGAAAAGCATCCTTTATACCATTAGTCTTCACATTTCAAGTTTTTGACATTGAAGCGGATTACATAGAATTTAGTTTAGGCCACTAATACTAAATTAACATTTAGCAAAGTTTCACTTATATTTGCAGTTGCAAAACAGATATTTCTTATCAGAGAGTTCAGTTGGCTTAAAATCCAAAAACCAATATTGTGAGTCTTGTAACATCATGCGTACACCTCAATCCATCCAAGTAATATATGGTTTCAATTCTGACATACATCCGCTGAGATATGGAAGAGGCTATTAATCTACAGGTTAGTTAGGAAGGTGGTTAATATGGTCAGTTTTTTAAATGCATAAATAGTGATGTGCATTTAAAAAAAAATCACCTTTTGCTCCAGACATGATTCTAATGTCTAGGTTCAATTAAATGTCGCCGGCCAACCCATTCCAAGTGGGAAGCAATTGAAAATCACATAATCTGGCTGTCACAGCAGGTAGGGTTAGGGTTAGGCAGTAGATGTTACATCAATTGTTAAGGTTGACTTGTAAAGATCTCAAAATAGAAAAAAGGGATGAGTCCACATCAGGGAGAGTATCAGGTTTCCCTGATAGGGTCTGGAGGAGCACATTTGCTTTCTTCTATGTTTCAACAAGTCTTTGGATGAGATTCCCCAAAGTGTTACAGTTCCAAACAAGATAGCCCGAATTGTTAAGATCCTGGTTATGGAGGGGTGAGCTGGCTGTCCTTGTTTATTCGCCAGTCCCTTGGCTTGGTCATAACAAGGTGAATTTAAAAGGGATGCCTTTTATTGTGGACAACTTTCGCCCAGAACAAAGGAATTTACATTTTAAAAGGAGCCAATTTAACCAGACATTCTTGGGATAACAAAAGCATGAAGTTATACTGAATAATTGCAAGACAAGAAAATAATGTAATTTACTTACACACAGATTAAGAATGAAAGGTGAGCCAATAAAAATGTTTAAAAAGTGATATACAAGTCATTATATGAGTGATTAATGACAAACAGATATTTGTACATCACGCACATTCCAGTCAGTTGTGTTGCTAACATTGATATTGGTAATTACACAGTGAATTCTGGGATTCTTGGTTTTACAGGTTAATTTAAATTCTTTTGTCCTGGTTTTTTCGATGGCGACTGGCTGGTAACACTCAGAACGAAATACAGTGTCTTTTCCATTTATCTTTACCTGCGTGCATGTGTGTTTAATGGCTGTTCCAAACTGAGGCCTTAATATTATACTAGTTCACAAACTAGGGCATCAGTAACAGTAGCATATGTAGACGAGGGTTGAAACTCACTTTTAACTCTATTTTTGTGGGGTTTTGAAAGATAAAACAAAAGCATATCTGCAGGAGCTTTCCTGCTGTTTAGAGGGGTTTGGGTAGTCAGCCTTCAGGCTCTCATCATCTCTTCGTCTTTACTATTTCCACTTGAAGTTTCCCTGACTCTGTACGTGTGTGACATTCCAGAATTCCTCTCCAGACGATTCTGAATTTACATCCTTTCAGCTGTACCTTCTTTTTCTAAAAAGGAATTATGATTAAATGTTCAATACTTCCATAGGTGCAATCATGACACTTGTCTCAACTGAAAATTAATTTTAAAAAATGTAAAACAGGTTTGGTTCCAGCTTTTGGGAAAGCTGCAATGGCTTGCAGCTCAAGACACCAAGTTAAATTGCAATCAGATGCCAGTGGTGTAATTGACATCTTTTAAAAGTAAAATTCTTACTGAACTTGAGCTTGCTTGATTGAAATTAGAAATATTTAGTTGTATTAGCTGGATGATTTTATCTAGTTGCTACTGGACAGATGACATTAAAAATTACTCCAACCAGAAAACACATAACTGAACCCATTCATTTCGATATTTCTTCTGGATAAGATGTTTAACTGAGGCCTGATGTTCCCTATCAGGTAAATATAACAGATTCCATTTTACGGGGGAGTTACCTCCAGTTTCCTCACAATATTTATTCCTCAATCAACAACACAAAATTAGATTACCTGATCATTGTCACGTTTTTGAGGGTTTGCTGTGTGTAAGTTGGCTATCACACTTTCTACATCACAACAATACAATTTAAAAGGACTTTACTGCTTATAAAGTGCTTTCAGAGGTAACATTATGATATTAGAGTAACTAAATTCTTTAGTACCTGTACATATTCCTGTCTAGTTCAATGTTGGTTCATATGGCGGTGGGGGGGGGTTGTGGTGGGAGGTGGTGGGGGGGGTGCACGTGGAGGGGTTGTGTGTTGAGCATTGTTGACCAACAGGCCAACTAGCTCCATTTAAATGAGATAACAAGGTGTAAAACTGGATGAACACAGCCGGCCAAGCAGCATCAGAGGAACAGGAAAGCTGACGTTTCGGGTCTGGATCCTTCAGAAAAAAATCAGAAAGTCTGAAGAAGGGTCCAGACCCGAAACATCAGCTTTCTTGCTCCTCTGATGCTGCCTAGCTGCTGTGTTCATTCAGCTCTACACCTTGTTATCTTAGACTCCAGCATTGGCAGTTCCTACTATCTCTGAGTGAGTTGTAGCTCCATTTAAAAACAGTTTGTGAATCACCTGAAGACAGAGCTTAAGGTGGTTTAATAGGGCGTGGCTTCAATGGGATTATATTTGCCCCTGGATCTTTGTCAGAACTAAGACCAGAAGGCGCAAAGGTATTCAGTATAAAATGACAAATGGGTAGTTTAAATTGTAGTTAGCAGCGGCTGCACCTTCTCCAATGCTGATCTGATAGTAATGATTCATGACTTCAATGTAAAATATATTATAGGTACAATATAATGGGCCATTGATGAGTGGGAGGACAGACAGGTGGAATATTGCCATGCCATCAGCAATATTCCCATTCCCACCTTTATGGGTGGGCTGCCAACGAAATCCTGTTTGGGTTATCCGCCGTGGTTCAGTTGAGGCCCTTAAGTGTGCTATTAATGTCCAACTGAGGAGCTGACCTTGCCACCTTTATGATATAAAGACCTGTGCCCTACCTCTAGTCTGGCAGGTTTAACCTGCGGGCTGATGCTCAGTGAAGTTGCAATGCTTTCATTCTGGACCCCCTTCCCACATTCTGGCCTTCCCTATCACCCACTTTGTTCAATATGCCTCCATACCCCCAGCCACAACAGAGGCCTTGCACTTTCTGGGACCTGTCAGCCTAGCCCCAGCTGTCTTGGACTTGCTTCAATTCCCACTCAACTGCTGAATGCCCGCTCCTTAACCCACCTGCACTTACCAGTATTGGGCGTTTCTCCTGCTTGGCGCTGCTGGAGTGCAGAGTTCCTGGCCCATGAATGTCGGAATTCAATGAAGCAGCCTTCCTGCTGGAGGTTAACAGCAGTTTTGCATCGTGCTTATTAAAGCAGGTCATCCGAAATGTTAAACCATGGCCATCTGCCTAAGCAGAGTCAATAAACATGGGACTGGGTAAACACAGCAGGCCAGGCAGCATCAGAGGATCAGGAAAGTCAACATTTCAGGCCAAAACCCTTCGTCAGGACTAGGCAGGGGGAGGGGAGCCCAGAAATAAGTAGAGGGAGGATGATGGGGCTGGGGAAGGGTAGATGGGATGGTGATATGTGGATGCAGATAAGGGGTTATTTGTGATTGGTCAGTGGGAAGGGTGGAACAGATAGGTGAGTCGGCAGATGGACAGGTTAGGTCGTGTCAGGGAGGTAGGACATGGGATAAGGCTGGGGGTGGAGGGATTTTGAAGCTGACGAGGTCAATATTCAGGCCCTTGGACTGCAAGCTCCCAAGGCAAAATGTCAGGTGTTGTTCCTTCAGTTTACATTTAGCCTCACTCTGACGGTGGAGGAGGCCAAGGATGGACATGTCACCAGGGGAGTGGGAGGGGGAATTAAAATGGATGGCAACCAGAAGGTCGGGTTGGTTGGTGCGGAGTTGGGCTTGCCCCTATAATTTGTTCTGGGGTGCTGGAAACCTACACTCAGTGTAATTGGTCCCTAATTGCCCTTGAGAAGGTGGTAGTGATCCGCTGATTTTAACAACTGTTGTCAGTGTTGTATAGGCACAACCACCATGCTGTTGGAGGGGGGGAGTTCCAGGTTTTTGACACAGTGACAATAAAGTTCGAAGTCAGAATGAGCGGCATGATGTCTCAGAGGTTAACACTACTGCCTCACACCACCAGAGGTTCAATTTCAGCCTCAGGCGACTGTCTGTGTGGAGTTTGCACATTCTCCCCGTGTCTGCGTGGGTTGCCTCCAAGTGCTCCAGTTTCGTCCCACAGCCCAAAGGTGTGCAGGTTAGGTGGGTTGGCCATGGTAAGTTGCTCATAGTGTCCAGGGATGTGCAGGCTAAATGGATTAGCCATGGGAAATACAGGGTTTCAGGGATACGGTAAGGGGGTGAGTCTGGGTGGGATGATCTTCAGAGGGTCAGTGTGGACTCAATGGACTGAATGGCCTGCTTCACGCTGTAGGGATTCTATGACATACAGAATGGTGTGTGGTTTGGAAAAGAACTTGCAAGTGATGCTGTTTCCATGTGTTTATTATTCTTCACCCTTTAGTTGACAGAGACTGAGACTTTGGAAGGTGCCGTCTAAGGAATTTTTGTGAATTTCTGCAGTGCATCTTGTAGATGATGCACACTGCTGCTACTGAACATCAGTGATGGAGAGAGTGAATGTTAAAGGTATTAGATGATACCAAATAAATAGTTTTGTCCTGGATAGTGTTGTCTTCTTGAATGTTGTAGCAGCAGCTGACTCATCTCTGCAAGTAGAAAGTATTCCATTACAATCCTGTCTTATGCCTTGTATTCAATGGACAGGCCTTGAGGAGTTAGGAGGTGAGTTACTTGCTGCAAGATTTCAGCTTCTGACCTGCTCTTGTGGCCATGCTATTTCTGTTGCTAGTCCTGTTCAATTTTGATTGAAACATAACTCCCAGGATGTTGATAGTGGGAGATTCATTGATGGTAACACAATTGAATGTTAAGGGATGGATTCATTGATGGTAACGCCATTGAATGTCAAGGGATGATGGTTAGGTTCTCTCTTGTTGCACATGGGAACTGCCTGCGCCTTGTGTGCCATGAATGTAACAAGCCGCTTATCAATTTAAGTCTGAATTCAAGTCTTGCTGCATGTCAAGAAGGATTGCTTCAGTGTCTGAGGATCTGCCAAAGGTACTGAACATTGTGCAATTGTCAGTAAACATCCCCACCTCTGATCAAGACTTTGTATATTGTATGTGCCTACATATGAGCAAATCATACAAATATTTGTTCATCCAGTTTTCATGAAGAATCTGTTTCTTTAATCAAAGAATGCAGGCCTCTTCCATCCCAAAATAACAATAATTTCAATTTTGCAAATAACTATTCTCCATGAATTGTTTAATGGTGTATATAAGAAAGAAGAACTGGTTATTAAGCTTCCTGAGACATGAGATACCTACTCCTGAGATCATTGTCAAAATTCAAGCATAACACCAGGGCACAAGTAATTAAACACAAGCAATAAAAGTTAATTTAATAACGTGAAATTGTTTTTCAAACAGACCAGTCAACCTGTGCAAAAACATTGCTACTGATTTATATAAAAATATTAAAACCTAATTCTTTGCGTATTATTGATGAACAGGAAATTGATTTCATTTTGAGAGCGTGTGTCTTAATGGAGGAAGTGAATCTAGTTCTAACTTGTAGTACTACATCTCTACCAATAAATGGCTCTAGTGCACTTTGTAAACAGTTTTACACTGTTTACAAAGGAACCCAACATGCAGTAAACTGATCGTGTGTGCATTGCCAATAGCCCTTTCGACTTGTGTTGAAAGGATGTAATTAAATAATTAGAATTACTTCCAGGTGAATCATCTCAGTAGGCAAAATTAATTCTCATTAATTGGAATACCAACTTTTTATAACCAATAAAATCAAAGAGCAGATTTTTCTACAAGCTTTTCAGTCTACCATGAACATAGAGTAAAAACAAAGCATAAATATGAATCTTTATAGAGGTTGGGCCTAAAGAATGCGACAGTGCTATCTCAGTATTACTGTCTTCAAATTTAGAACAAATATGAATCTCTGATAACTTCAAGTTGTGTTTTCTTACGGATTAGTAATGTAAACAAAGAAGAAATACACCCAGCTTTTGTTAATTGCCAGGATATTGCTATTTAAGGATTATTCTGTGACGTAATTGGCATTTTGCCACGTGTTGACACCCAAAGTTCAAGAAAGTATATTAAGATAATTTTGTGTACTGTGAAAGGAGGTTTAAACCAGTGTTGCAGGCATTGTTCATGTATAGGAATACATTTAATAATTAAAAATAATCAATCATTGTTAAAAAAAGACAGGAGTTCATAAATTAACCTGAATTGGAAATTTTAATTTAAAGTTGATAACTATTAACCCTGTATTTCAAAATAGGCACATCAAAGTACTAACTCTGAATGCAAGATTAGTGCATGTATTTTACACCATGGTAACCTAGTCACTCTATTTAACATATGTTACTGATCAGTGCTGCTGAACCTTTCAAGTGTCCAGGATAGAGCCCAACATCTGCAAAATCTCTTTCTAATAATATTAATGAGAAAACAAAACAAGTATAGATTATATCCCAGTAATGTTTTCATCAGTCAATGGGAAAGTTGTATAGAATGTTAAATTATCATCCTTATTTTTAAATCCCTCCCTGATGTTGCCCTGCCTTATCCACAAACCTTACAACTCACTCTGAAATACTTTTAAGTTTAGCCTCCTATACACATTCTCTTTTGCTTCACTGTTCTATTAGAAGACATTTACTCAGCCTTCTAAGCCCTGCAGTTTGGAACTCTCTCCCCAACTCCTCTGCCTCCAAATCCCTCTCCTTTCAATGTCCTTTCTAAACTCCACCACTGAACCAGCATCTGGTCAATTCTAATGTGACTTGGCATTCACTTGTGTGTGATTGTGACTCTAAGAAGCTGTTTAAGACCTATGTTCTTGAAAGACAGCTATCAAGAGAGAACACTGTGAAACTGGCACATTTTGTCTCCATCTAGCAAGGTCCAATCTTGAGGTCAGGGTTTGGATTCAAGTCTGAATTTTTTGTCGATCTGAGTGGGTCTCATTCAGTTCAAGTAACTGACAGCATGCTGTAGTCACATGTGCTATCAATTAACTGTGATTTGCAGGCATCAGAACTGTCACGCACTGGAGCTGTGTTTCACAGATCACATTTAAACTTGTCTAAACAATCCAGTAATTGTTCATTGTTGGAAAATACATAATTTTTTAAATGCCACTGCTAATGGTGAGACCTAAACATGTTTTAACTTATTTAACAATCAATGAGAGCTATTTCACAATGTGACTAATCATTACTAACCAGTGATGAGTTACAATACACAGAGTAAACCATTGCATTGTGTTCTGTTTTACCTTCAAATTCCCAGTAAAAGCGAGAAGAGTTTATTAAATCTTATTAACATTTTAAAACTGAGGGTGTGAATGGATTGAGGTGTTGTTCTCCTGTTTTATCTTTTAATACCAATGCACAGCATCTCATAAAAGCAGACAATTTTGAAATCATTGGTGATGAGTTTTCGAATGAAATTGTTGCAGAAAAGAAACAAAAACTATGGCACTGTGATCACCGTTGAGTAGTGGACTGACCAAGTGCTTCCTTATCCCTGAGCAGCAGTGAGGGAGAGTTGAGCATGTTGCATCCATAACACAGACTGCATATATATCTCTTTAAAACAATTTCTTTTTATTCTCTAGTATTTTTTTTCATCATTCTATCTCTCTGCATTCTTCACTTGTTCCATCTGAAGATATCCGCAAAATTAATTACCTGATGAAGAAATTACATTTAAAGTCTGGAAAAGCCAAAGGTATGTTGTACAATGGACTAAACCGCTTGTATTTTCACTTCCCTAACTACACTAGCCACATCTATCTCTTTACTGTCTTAATTTCATCAATCTTCATTGTGTTCTAAGTCATTGTTCTCCTTCCTTTATTTAAAATAAAATTTGCTGTGTGCCTCTAGGTGTTCTTTTATATCCATTGAGTTTCATTCATATCAAACCTCTATTCTGAGTTTAGGTTTTGTTCCCTTTTTTTTCTTATTGCTGTAATCAAACTGACTTGCCTCTAATCCAGTGCCACACTAACTATACTTCATGAACTATATGATGCAATATTATGCTGTCAGAGTTCAGAGGATGGAATAAAGTAGCAGAATGAAGTTTGGTTAGATCAGCGATGTAGTTTAAGCTGATAAAAACAAGAGGAATGGAAACAGCATTTTGTTACATTTAGCGGAAGTACATAATTTGCAAATCCAAACGTTCTGTGCAGTGCAAATCAGGTTAATAATGAGAGGCACATGACATCATAAAATAATAAAATCATCGTCTTCTCCATCTTTATACTTTGCTCTGTCACTGAGATTAAATAAAATAATGCAGTTATGAAGATTATCTAGAGTTCAGTGTTTCACATTGAAAATGTTTAGCTCAGTTGGAAAACTACCAGACCTGAGGCACTAAAATATTTTGAAATATACATTTTTTATTCTGGAATATTGAACAAGTTGGAATCCAGCCTGCTGACTCCAGAAGCAGAGGATAGGTGGCCAGGAACAGGCAAGTAATGAGATGGGCAGCTTAGAAGGCCTGTTTCAGTTTTCTGGAGCTTCGGCCCAGTCATTTCAGAAATTGTTAGGTCCTCAAACCTCACCCTACCAACCAAACGCCCAGTCCATGCCACCTCTATGGCAACTCTCCTAGAATCTACCATAGATGGAACTCAGAAGCTGTGTGGAGCTGAAAAACAAAAACAAAAATCCTCTAACAATTGAGTACAGCTTTCGATCATTCACTCTTGATTGCAAAGTGATCTGCTCTCCGCAGAACCCATTCAAAGCTTCTGTGTTTTCTCAAGTAGTTAACGTCTTAAAAACAAACTTGAATCCAGATCCCACATCAAAGACAGCTAATCCTTTAATAGCCTTTTAAACTATCAGTCAAACTGTGACCTCTGTAGTCCTGCTGAGATAGTAGCTTTTGAACATTGGCTAACCATAGACAATAGCATTGCATTCAGTCCTTGGGGAAATGTCAACAAAGATATTGGTTAAATTGTTCAAACAAATGGTACTTTTCTTTCTGATCTCAGAGTACTCCAGCAGAGGTTATGTTTTAATCTTTGTCATAGCTTTCCTTTTCAACTTTAAAGAGCAGGGGATTTGAGAAACTTTAGGCCATCAGTTTTCCACCCTTCAAGAGTATTTACATCTACTCCATGAACATTTGATTCTCACACTTTGAGTTAAGGTCCTAGCAAAAGCTAAAGTGGGATCTGTTGAAGTCAGATCTTGGTTCGTATGGCCTGCTGAGTTTATGTTTCCACCCTTGTGAAACGTGCTGTACCCCCTTTCTCCTGCCAGGAAAATCTGGATCTACAGAAAATGGGTACAAGACATCCCCTGCGGTTCCCACTTGCTGTTAAAAATCTTGCTGTAAAATTTCAATGAAATGCTTGAGTTCTAGCTATCCTTGAATTTGAAATCCATTCCCATGGTGTGAAATCAAGCATTACAACCAGTTAGCATAAAGGCAAACATTTTCCATGTAAACTGTTTATTTTCCAGCTATTACACAACAGAACCACCTTAAGTTCAAATATTAGCTATGATTCATTGGAAAATATTTGGTATGTCTCTATAGAAAAGAACGGAAACATGGTAGCTTTTACGTTTGCATTTTGTAAAATTATTTGGTGGCTATCTTCCTTTTTCATTAAACACTAAGTGCGTAACTGAAGAATGGGAAGCCCAACACTCCTGAACAATTTATAACACTTGTGACACTTTTCAATCAAAGTCTAAATTGGAGCAAGACACAAATTTCAAAAAATAACTTAACACACCACTGAATAAGCATAGCATGACACTTGTTTACCATATGGGTGTAGGGCTCTGGTTTGTCAGATTGTTAAATTTAATTTAGGACACTGTTAAGACACATGAATACTTGCCAAATGAACATTGCAGACAAACAATTTGATGGGATGATAAAATACCATCTGTAGGATTTCAGGAGTTTTATACAAAAAATGGTCAATACAAATATGCTTTTTTTTTAGAAAAAAGAGCCATTTACTAAATTACAAAGAGAGAGATCAAATATTTTATTAATAAATAGATGATATTTATTTCAGTGATAAGAGATTTCAGCTTGGAGCTTCCCTAGCATGTCAAGCAGCTTCAGTTGTTAACTTTCTCCTCTGGCTGCATCTGCCTCAATGGAAGGGTTCTTGAATGACATGCTCTTCACTTCAGGGTAGTAGGTGCAGGAGCGAGTCAAATTCACCAACCCTGGAAGCAAATGGATGCGGAGGTGGGCCATGTGTGCAGATATGTCTTGAGTAAGTACAAAGAGTACCCCAGTATGCAGCTCCTGCTGTGAGACAGAAAACTGATAGTGTTGCTGCTGGATCATGGGAAGAGAAAGCCATCAACATTCGGGTGATCACTAACTGAAATTGTTGTCGAACCAATGGTTACTGAGATGGCCCATCATGGGCCTTATATAACGATATATACAGATTATTGCTGCACAGTTCACCATGTGTAATGAAGCAGCTAAGCAATAGCAGCAATTTAAGTCTGGCAAAGCTTAACAAAATTCAGGCATGGAGATGACATATCAATTGGCCCTGAAATTCTGCAATTTACTCAGATTGGCCATATGCTTCCAGGTCGGACTGAGATGGTCCATGCTCTACTTTTGGCCTTCCACCTACCCTTTTAGCACTCGTTTATCTGGATGTGGGTTTCCTTTGACCATCACAATCACACACTGACATCACAAACAAGTGTCATGCAAAGGGAGCAGACCATCAGGGTCTTGTGCATTCAGGAGCAAAACCTGCCTGGTTAGCATTACAGGAACCTATGTTAGGTCATCCCGCATTCAAAGAGGACTCCCCCACCCTTCCCACTCCACCTCCGCCACCATCAGCAATCAGTACTGAATTAGGAAATCAGGCTCCTGCGTTCTAGGTCATGTATGGTGGCAAATGAAGCTCAAAACCTTGTATGCCCATGTGGCAGCATCTCTGGCCCAGAGAGGGCTAAGTACACAAGCACTTTTAAAATATCAGAAATTATAAAAAGCCACAGCTGCCTGACCATGCCACCAGTGACCTGCAGTTACGGTCAGACTGGTGGGGGAGACTTCATGTTGATCCTGGAATGCTGCACATTGGCCTTCTGCTAGAAATTAAACCTGCAGCCATCAGTTGACCTACAGGCACCACCAGGAGCTCACAAACCTCTTGGAAAATTACAGGTAGCCATTCCACACTCAGTTTGACTTTCCCTCAGTTGGCTTGGGCAGGAGAGTGGTCATGGGAATAGTGCTGGGAAACTCGTACGTAGGCCAGCAGCACCAAATTATTAGCCTGTCCATCTCGCATGCCACCCCCAGACCTTCTGAAAGTGCTGACCTTGAACATGAAATCTGGGCTGGTGCTGCAATGTCAGAGGTGCTGTCTTTTCAATAATCTATCATCCTGCAGTCATGTTCTTCCCCTCAAAGGATCACATGGTGGTATTTGCAGAGGGCCATGGTGTTCTGACAATGTTTGTCAGTTTACCAAGTGCAGGATTTATTTTATTGGGTGGTATTGGGATTCCTCAGTAAGAGGAGGCCCTTAAATAAAAATTAATTGACAATTTAAGTGACTTAATGGGCTTAATGGCAGATGACCTGCCGATTTCTGCCCCATTCCTGGTAATATACCAGCAAAGGCATCAAGTACAGCATTGGATGCTACTCAGTGTTACCTGACCCTGCCTGCCATTATGATTGGAGAGGCTGTCAGTGAATTAGTGAACTCGGAGAGGTGTTAAAATTTGCTGCATTTTTTAAAAAAATAGTTTTTATTTACAGTTTTATTCTGCATCAAAATGCTGCCCGTCTCCTTAATAAAACTTTTAACAGTGAGCTACTCCACCCACGTACTGTTAGCTAAAGGCTGGAACTGTGCACAAGTTCAAACATTTTCTTGAGGTAATTAACTTTGAATGTACCTTGTTACAGATGTAGCTTCAGCAACAAATGTTATAATGGCAATTAACCCTCAAAAAAGTCCTCTCAACATCACCTACATTGTAGTGGAATATTGTGAAATTTTGAATTGGAATATTATGACCCACTCATCACTTTTAATACATTGTGGGTGGTATTACTTCCAGTTAGCTGAAATCTTTAGTCATTCATGGACAACTCACGACACAGGATTTAAGATCCAAATGTGGAGTGAAACATTGAAAATGAATACATCTCATAATATGTTGGCAACTGTCTAGAACTATATAATCATAGAATTTTACAATACAGAACGAGGCCCTTCAACCTATAGTGTCTATACTGGCTGCTGAAAGAGCTACCCAGCTAGCCCCATTCTTCAGCTCTATCTCTGTAGCCCTCTAAATTCATCATTTTCAAATATATATCCAGCTCTTCTTTGAAACCTCATTATGGAGTCTGTCTCCATCACTCTCCCAGGCAGCACATTTGAAATCCTAACAACTCTCTGCATAAAGAAGTTTTTCCTCACCTCACTCCTAGCTCTCTTGCTGACAGTGATAAAATTGTGACCCTTGTTACTGACATACCAACTAGTGAAAACAGAATATCCTTCTTTATCCTGTCAAAATTGTTTGTAATTTTCAACACTTCAATAAGGTCACGTCTTAATCTTCACTGCTTCAAGGAGAATAAGCCCACTTTCTTTAATCTTCCCTTGTATCTAAAATCCCCCATTCCTAGTATCATTCCATTAAATCTCCTTTGAACTCTCTCCAGGGCTTTAACATCCT